ACCTCCGCCATCCAAGGCGCGCTGAAAGCTGGCTACAAAGTCCTCGCCATCGTGCGAAATCTAGACTCGGCGGAGAAACTGTTCAAGAACATTGGAACAAAGGAGGGAGTTACTACCGTGGAGGCTGATATTATCTCGGATATTGGAGTCCAGTCCGTCGTTGATCAGGTCAAGGCGGGGAAACTTCCTCAGTTTCAGCATGTGTACTCTTGTGGTAAGTCGGGTTATGGCAGTCAAATTGTCTGTGGAGGAGAATGTGCTGATATGTTATGCTGTATTTGCAGTGGGCCAACCGTACGGAATGATGTGTTTAACTGAGATTGATAACGAGACTCTCGAGCACCATATGTCCATTAATTTTGCTCCGAACTTCTGTAAGTAGCATGGTTTTTCTCTCTCCCCTGTTCTACTTCGAATGATAAGAGAGTCTCACATCTTATAGATGCCTACCGGGCCACTGTACCCTACCTGCTCGATCTCGCCCACCCAACCAGCACATGGACGCTCTGCACCGGCGCTCAAGGCGACATGGGCGTATTCCCCGCCCCAGCCATGACTCAAGGTGCGCTCTTCTCCATGGCTAACGCCGCGGCGCGCGAACTCGAGAAGACAAATGTCCGTTTCAATGAAGTGTATCTCGCGTTCCGGGTTGAAATTGATGCGGAAGCGGAGAAGCATGGTGCGGTCAAGAGCTCGCAGTTTGGAAACGTTTATGCAATGTTGCTGGGTAAGAGCGATATCAGGAGTGAGAGGGTGCTTGTTATTGAGGAAGGGGATATGACAACTTTGAGGACGGGAGGGATGGGATGGAGGGGCGAGAGTCTAGGGGGTGTGAAGAAGTGGGCGCCGGAGTAGTAAGGTACGGGTGAGTTTGCGGTGGGAAAAGGCTGGTATTGAATAGAGTTGTTGGAGTGGTGGTAATAGATCCAAGATGGTTTGAGTTTGAATGAATGGGCTATCGCATTTATTGTTCCATGAATCCCAGAAAATGTCATTGTTAATATAGCGACGATACTGAAGGGTATATCTTTCGAACTGCAGAACGAAGTATCGTAGGAAAGCAAGACGCAAACGGCAGGATATGATCCATTGGGGAAAAAAAACCCTAAGCTCTACTCTTCCGCGACAACAGGGGACTGCGCGTATGTGTAAAAATACATCATCTAGAAAATGGAGGATCGAGAACGGGGGTTGATGACTACTAATGTGAAGAAAGATCAACAGACGCAACACATTTAGATTCTGAGGCCTTGACCAGTTGCTTTGTACTCGGATTCTGCGAAACTGGGAGAGCAGAGGGCCGATAATGCAATGAGCGAATCGTAAAATGAGATCAGGAATTGCAGGGCACTCGACACTTTCGATCAAAGACAGCAAGATGAATGAGAAGCAGTGTCTTGTTGGTGATGTTCTTACAATCGGGGAAATTGCTGCTGTATGTGCAGTCGGGCATATCGAAGTCGCCCAAGTCCGACCGGATCAAACGGGGGAATATCTGGGACTGGGGGGGCGGTGGCTTGGGATGGATAACCATAACGATTTGGAGAAGACGAGGCCAGTCATGTTTGAGCTGAAGGAGGAAGTGTCTTGTTGAGGAGAGGGAGTTCGGAATCGGAGGGTGGACCGGTAGCAGCAATACCAGCGGGGAAGAACATGTGCCAGCGAGGTTCTTCTATTGATGTTGGCTGGCCTGCATTTTGTTTGCCTTTTGACTTTGATGAAGGAAGGGCGTCGCGCAGTTTAGAGAAGGATTTCGCAAGACCAGTCTTATGTGTCGTTTCTGCTTCATAAGCAGCCCGCTCCATCTCATCATTGTCCATACCCTCCGCCCTCTTGATATTCTTGACCAGTGCCCTCATAACCTCATCGATTGTCGCCTGTGAAAACGTATCGACCTCAAAGTGGCGCATTCCATGCATACCGGCCCACTCATCTGCTAAGCTCTTCCGAACCTGCCTCGTCTTCTCTCCCTTTTCAATGACATCGAGCTTATTCCCCACAAGGACACACCCAAACCTCTGTCCTCCCATAGGAAATTCCTTCCCCTCTCTCGTCTTCTCTTTCCGCCATGCCTGAATGATATGCCAACCCTGCTCAGTAACCCGGTCATAGCTCTCCTTATCAGCGATATCGTATAAGAGCACAAAGCCAAGCGGTTCGCTCAGTAAATCATAGAGAACAGTGGTGAGACGGCTTTCTGGGCCTGCTCTCGCACAGATAGTAGTGAGACTGACATCTTCAACTTTGAGGTTCCAGGTCTCGGAGTCGAATTCAAGCGCTCGCTTTGGGGACTCAAATTGGGGCTGAGATGCGCTGTTTTGTTCCCATGGAGCATACAAGGCGAAGTGCTTGTTGGTAAGAAATCGGTCGGCGAAGCAGGTCTTGCCTACGCCAGACTCGCCGAGAACGGTGACAGTAACCCCGCGTTCAACTTTTGAGGCGCTCATTATTGCAGTGATTTGGACCGCGATGGATTGGTGTTTGGGCGGGAAAGTGGAAGCCTTGGGATGCTCGCCCGAGGATGACGAAGAAGGCGTAGTACCTACCGGCTGGTGCCTAGGCCAAATCACGTGCTCTGATAGCACGTGAGCAATACCTCACTCTACATGCAATATTGTTACATGCATATCTACATCTTACTGAAGTAAGGCGTCGTTCTTGCAAAAAATGATATCGCTACTGCACTTATGAAGACAGATGAAATGCCTCTTAGAGTGACATATATGTAGCATGAGGCCATTCCGAAAAACGAAGCGGGCCCGCCTTACCCGTCCCGCTATCTCTCTGACAGTAAGATGGCATTACGACAACACGCGACGCCCGCCGAGCTTTCCGAAGATCAATTTTTTTTTGTCCAAGCCTTGAGAGCTCCTCCGAGCCTGCTCGTTTGTGTACATCTCCTTCTGTTCGCTTGCATTTGCATGGCACCGGAGTTTGGCGCTTTCCCAGGATGTTTCCGGTTGAGCTAGGTGGTCCCAACCGTCACCCACTGGCCTCCCTACCAACACCACATCGACTATCTACTCAAACCGACAGCGCATAATTTTGCTACTATTCCCAACTGCGGGGCCCACTATTATCAACGTCTCTTCAGCACGCCCCAATGACGAATCGCCACAAGCCGCATCATCGCCCTCTCATAGATCAGATTCCCGACCACAACCCGTATGACGTCGACCTCGATGTATCGGACGAGGAGGACGCCTTCTACGCTGTCGATGAAGGCGACTATCTACTGCATCCCAAGTGGCGCGCCCTCATAGTGCGCACATCGAACCGTATCCCACGTCGTCTGCAGCGCTACATCGTCATCTGCTTCTTTGCCGCTGTCGTCTTCCTCACAGTCTGGTTCGGGCTCATCTGGCCACGATACTCTACGTATATGCAGGATACATGGGATATGGATGCGGCGCCGAAGAACAGATTTGGACTGAACAAGCGGCCCGAGTTTAAGGATCTCTTGCAGGTTGGGAAATTGGATGAGAGGTTCCTTCCCAAGGGGGATGGTAGGTTGGTTGTTGTCGGGGATGTACATGGGTGCAGGAAGGAACTGGACCAGTTGTTGAGGAAATCGCTGTTCAGGGAAGGACGGGATCATCTCGTTCTAACGGGGGATATTATCGCGAAGGGTGAGTTATCGTCCCATTTGCGTCAAGTGTACATCATTGCTGATATGATGCAGGCCCCGACTCTTCCGGTGTCGTCGACATGGCTAGGCGTCTCAATGCTTCATGCGTCCGCGGAAACCACGAAGATCGCGTTCTCCTCTCCCTCGCCGAAATAACCAGCGTCAATCCCTTAGGCCCCGATGCCCCCATCGAGCAGTCCCTCACCGAACGTGACTACGCCACGCGCAACCTCGCAAAATCCTTCAGTGAAGATCAGATCTCGTACCTGAAATCATGCCCCGTGATTCTCGACGTCGGCACAATAGGGACGCTCCATAATATCGCAATTGTTCACGCTGGCCTCGTTCCAGATGTCGCGTTCGAAGATCAGGACCCATACCAAGTCATGAACATGCGAAGCATCGTTCTAAAGACGCGAGTACCTTCTGAAACGAGGGAGGGAAAACCCTGGGAAATGTTCTGGAACCATCAACAAAAGAAGAAACCAGAGGATCAGCAGATGAACGTAATATACGGCCACGATAGCAAAAGAGGAGCGAATTTCCAGAAGTTCAGCTTCGGCCTCGATTCGGGATGTGTATCGGGTGGGCGATTGACCGCTATGCTCATTAGGGAGAGCGGGGATTATAGTTTTGTCATGGTTGACTGCAAGGAACATGGGAAGTAGAGCTTCCTGTGGGCTGTTTTGGTAGTGTAATGGGTAATGTTGCATTTTTGGTTGCATTGTTTGGCGTTTGGGAATCACATTGGGCTGGAGTTCTAGGCTGCTGCATGGCAAAGCAGTGCATTTGTTTGTAGCCAGTGAATACACTTTACAATACGCATACCTCTTCACCCACAAAAGGGGCAAGAAAAGGACAAACTTACAAGCCAAATATGCCAGCGGCACTGGCGCATACGCTTACAGGCACTTTCTACCCTCACGGCCTTAGAATATGGTGCTCTTCAAACTTAACGTTGCATGCGACATATTGACACATACGCACACCGGCAACAACTTAGCTCACAGGGGTGGGTGCCCTCAAGCACCGAGATAAGTGTATCCAGGCATCTGCCACAGGACCACTCTTTCCCAGAGATCTGGCGAAGCAACCCTCTCGTGAAACTTTGTTTGTCCCAATTTCAGCACAGACAAGGCAGGGTCTTCTTCCACACACACCCTTAACTCCAACTACCGCATCACAATCACAGCACAGAGGCAACAACTGGCAAAGACGGTGCTGCTTCGGCGCACATTTCCACTACCCTACTTTAAACCACGGGCATGTTATTAATAGGAATCCCGACCTGGGAGCAAAAAAGAAATAAAAGCATCAAGAACTTTCCCAAACCCTTTCAAGAAGGGGCAAAAAAGACAAAAGAAATGACTGATGCCCACAGGCGGAATCGAACCGCCGATCTTCTCATGTTACAGAAGTTACTAGTGAGACGCTATACCACTTAGCCATGCGGGCTTGTAAGCTGTTTGTATTGCTTGTTGAAAAGTGAGACCTTTTCAAAATATATATAGCTATATGTTCATTTAGGCACAGGATGGAAGAGGTGAAGTGGAATTGGAGGGGGTCAATTTACCGCTTAGCGTGTCAGAGGCATGGTTAGCGCAGCCCTGTAGCGAAGCCCGAACACCATCCCATCCCGAGTATGTGCCGAGATCAGTTGTTTGTCTTAGCGACCTCAATAATCAGGTGCGCGGGGTTTATTGTAGGAATTCAAGAAGTGAGCAGGAGTCCGGGCGAGAGCTACAATTACGTATTGCACAGGAGCGACGAAAACATCGTGCAAAGTTTTGACATTAAAATCACCTCTGCTCCAGCAGTCCAGCAGGTAAATTAAAAACACCATAATCAGAAGCCCGAGCAAACAAAAATCGGAAAAGAAATAGATACTTGGTTTTCCATGCGCCATTACGAGTAGAAGAAAATTAACCATAGGCGCTATTATCATCGAAAGTGAGCATGTGGCGCCCACAGCCTTATTAACCCCGCATAACCCCGTAAGCGCGCCGAAGCGCATCGCAACGCCAGAAATCAATACTCCGTCGCGAGAAACGTCGAAAGCTTCTCAAGGGCCGCTTCCATATCCCGCAGCGAGATAGAAAACCGTATCCTCGCCCACCCATATTCCGTCTCGACGCCCTTGTAAAAGCGCCCGTGACCAACGCGCAATCCATGTATGGCCAGCCGGTCGTAGAAGTCTTTTTCCTCTGCTCTGCTCCTCGCCCCCCTTGCGATATTAGCAAAGAGTACAACGCCGTCCGTAGGCGTGATGAAATCGATGTTCCATCGTCGCAATGCGGCGGCGAGCAGCCGGTAAGATGCTGTGAGTCGCTCCGAGTTAAGGGCGAGTAGAGTGGGAAGTTGAGACCAGGTGAGGAGAGATGATAGGTACAGTGAACCGATGTTATTGACATGGTGGGCTGTTAATAGGCTCATGGCAGTGAGGAGTTGTGGGTTTTGTTGAGAAATCAAACAGCCCTATTCATGTTAGATAGGGTATGCCGATTGAATTACTTTCACACTCACCACTTTAAAGCCGCTTGATCCAAACAGCTTGCTGGCGCCCCAAATCACATGCACGCGACTGGGATCAATCTTCACAGCGCCTTCTGGTACCAAAGGCTCTGTCAACGACAGTGCAGAGACGAATGGTGGGCTTCCGCTCGGCAAACCCTGGAGAGATGACAGGGCAAATATTTCATCTGATATTAGATGAAGTCCACGCTCTTGACAGAATTCCATGCATTCGACAATGGACTTCCGGGGGTAGCATCTGGACACAGGATTGTTTGGGTTGCTAAGTAGAACGGCTTTGATCCTCGATTTATCGGCTGAGAAGTCGTATGCAGCCTGCAGTGAAGGAAGCAGGTAGTTGTCATAGTTTTGGTATGTGGGTGGGTGAGCTACGATGATGTTGACATTTGCTCGAGCTTTCAGAATTGACTCGTAGCCATCTACCATAATGTCAGCTTTTGGAAGTTGCCTGTTCAACAGCGCGCCGGTCACTGACGCCAATATGGTCCAGGGACGATGACGCCGTCACCATCGTCGCATATAGCATGTATCACATTCTCAATAGCATCGGAAGCTCCCGCTGTAAGCACAATGTGCTCTGGCTTGACTTGGTGTATTGGTCCAAGGTATTGGTTGAGGAAAGTCGTCAGAGCTTCACGCAGGATACGATCACCTCCTTGCGCAGGGGGCTGAGCAAAGACCTTCGGCTCTCAGTATGATTTCCACAAGAAGTGGAAGCGTTATACCTTTTGTGTGGCTCGATCCTCCACGGCCGTTTTGAAGAATTCAAGGAGTTCAGGACGAAGAACTTCGTTCTGAGCGTTGGAGAGATCGATACATGTGGCCAGGTCGCACTTCTCCGGTGCAGCAGTAGCAGCAGCTTTGGGAATAAGGTCTTCGAGGGCGTGAACCATACGAGATGAAAGTCCCGAATCCATACTGGTAGAGCTATTACATACCCGTAAGGCTGAAAGATCCGAAGTGAAGCAGCACCACCCCGACCGAGCCTATTCTCCAATTGGCATCAGGAGATTCGACTCGCCGGATATGTTGGTTCACGCGCTCTCAAAGGATGGCAAGCTAAGATCTTCCAAAATCAGACTTCGAGGTTCAGGCTAAAGGAGTGGGTCATCATCGCTTATGAGCCAGTTTTTGGCCCCACTAAGCGTCTGTTCGACGCGGCTTCTCCGTCGTCGGACGCGTTTAGGCTCCCGAGGAACTGTGTCTCGCTACGCCGGAATGCATCTGGACGGTTTTGGCTGGGCCGTAGGGTTGGTAGCCATACACTTAGCGTGCGATCGGTTTTCGAGCAAGGCACTCGGAGTCCTTCACGGGCTTGTACCCAATAGTGGAAGATCCAGGCACAATCGAATGGAGTTCGGACCTCCTGCGCCGCTGACATGCATGCAGCGAAGGTCAGCTGTTCCCAGCATCTAGTAGTCGTCGCACATGCAGCTGTAACTGCCATCACATTCTTAAGCGCTCGGGGCTCGTGATATCGGCGAGTAACGCATAGAGTGGTAAGTAATGCTTGCGTTCGGTCGATCGATCTGGAGCCAAGATCGGTGTGAATGTATTGCTTTTCGGACCGCTGCGTGATGCCTTCCGCCCGTGGCCCCGCCAACTACCCGCCAAACAATACATTATGGCATTGAAGAGTTGGTATATGAGCTTGCATTTTGCTGTGTCCGCCATCCTATTTACTACAAATCTTAACGCGCAATTATGACGCAACGTCCAAGTATTCTGCAATATATAAATAGTCTAAAATATCTCAATAAAATCTATCTCTTCTAGCTTCTATGCAACAAGTCGGAAGACCATGGGGAATGGGAAACCTGCCGCACCGCGCACACCATAAGCGCTACATTAAGTACTTTCCTACGCGTCTTCCGCTGCAAATGCTGGCAGATATTGGCTCTTTCCAGCTACGAGAGTTCCCAAGCTAGCAATGCTGGTGTTACCCATTAACTCAAAGACCACGACATCAGCTCTCAGTTCTTTGGCGAGCCAATTCCTCATCTCGACTGCGACGAGCGAATCGACTCCATACACATGCATAGGTTTAGCAGGATCGATGTCGTCCCCAGGCATCGAGAGCGCTTTGGCTAGCTTTCGCGTCAAAGCCTCAGTAATCACATCTCCGGCCTCGCCCACTGAATGCGCACTGCCGAGAAGCGCCTGGAAATCGAAAAAGGCACCTCCTCCATCCGTCGCCTCTGCACTGATGTTGTCCATCTGGTACATATTCCGGAACAAAGGTTTAGGCATCCAGAAAGGATCCTCGATACGCTTCACGCGTAGTGATGCCGGCGTCTCGATACCTGTTGCGACCTGCGCCCGCAGCGTGGAGGGCACGGGGAGGGCGGGGTCGCAGTGGTACTCGAGCATGGCGAGGTACTCGGTTTCGCGGATGGGCATGTATCCTCGCGAACGAAGCATGTCCACAACATCGGCACGCTCAGCCGCGAAGCCAACTGAAAGGATCATACCCAGGTTCAGAGAAGCAGCCTTCTCGCCCATCGAACAGCGGTACCGCGCAATTGCATCTTGATAGGCGTTGCCGGAGCCGTAATTAGGCCCACCGAAAACTCCAGAGCCGGACGAAAGGAGAATGAAGAAGTCCATATTCTTCGGCAAGAGTTTGTCCAGATTCCACGAGCCTTGGACCTTGGGCCTCGTTGCCGCCAAGTAGTCCTCAAGAGACATGTTTTCAAAGATGGAATCCTTGAGCACCATCGCGCCCTGTATGCAGCCTTTGACTGGTGGCATGTCTTTGCCACAGTCTGAGGACAGCCGCAAGCTGCTCTTCATTGCTGACGTCACATTGAGGCACGGCAACGTTGCACCCACGGCCTTGAGTTCCGAAAAGAGTCACCACATCAACCTCAAACATCATACTTAAGAAAATCTCTGTGCTTCTCACGCAACGCTCTCACCGGAACAGGTCGGCCGCGCTCCCTGCTAGCGGGGGCGAATTTAAAGTATTTATGTTCTTAGTAACGCACTCACAGTTACCTCGGGCAGCAGTCTTGGCAATGCGCTTAACCTAAAATAGTCAAAAACGCCATCCGGCCAAGCACATTGAAGACGGAACTTAAGCTAGCGTACAGGGTTCCTGATCACCCAGGGATGCTGATCACTTGCCAAAACGCGCACCCCTTAGAGAAATCGTGATTGTTTCAATCAACCTAGTTACAATTGCCACTCTATACACATAGATTGCAGAGTTTTTGCTGCTGTTTCAGCTGCAACTCTC